AGTGAAGTAGGTCGACCACCGCCTAAGTGGGTCCCATTGGGAGCTGCTTGCGCAGTCTCGCGAAAACGCGAATATCTCTCTACTCCGATGTCGTATTGATGAACGATTTAATGCGTTAGAAACTAGACTCGTAGATCTTCAATTTGATATGTAGATAATCCATTGATTCCAAGTATATTGGGAGAAAAGTGCATCTATATTTGACCTAAATTTCAGCACATTATGAATGCAACTTGTGATGACCTTTGCTAACTTTTGTTCCATAACTCGTTTGACTTAAAAACATAACACACGACTATCATACGACTACAATAATTCATAAATTAACCTCCTCATCATGTTAATCACCCTAGTCTCACCCCAAAAGAATATGTTATAACATTCCAAACTTGTCGATTTTTGACGAAACTTATTTTCTTCAATTCGTTTAGCGACTAAGCTTTCCAACCCCTTTTGGTACTTGTTATTCATGATCTTAAATATTTGTAACCTCCAAGGTAACATGATTAACTTACTTTATTTGCTTCCAAATATAATCTTATTTTCGAGCTTACATCAATGACTTACGACGTACTCTCACGTATGAAAACTCGGGGTGTAACATTTAGGATGTTTCTCCTTGTGTTTTATTTATTATATTTGCAAAACATAAACATACTAAAAGTTATTTTCACACAGATTTAAATGGATATTCCTTTGATTCGAAAGACAAAGGTTGAATTTAGCGATAAGAATAACCTTAGAAGCACATTAACCAGTATCATAATTTTTGCATGTATGACGTTATTGTCAAAACTTCTATATACCATCTATGTGCTATTACATAAGCTATTCGGCGTATCTAAATTTTTTAATAGCATGACAGACATATTTTCTTCAAAATTAACCTATATACAATGGAAGATCAATTTTTACTTAGTCTATTATATATACGGTGAAACTAACATAGGTAAGAAATAAGAAACTTGACAACAAACATGTATGGTAGAAGGCCATTTGGTATTAAAGTATTTAAGTGTGCTTCTTAGTAGTAATTATTGGTATCATTTTTTGCTGAGTCAAAAACTGAAAAATATTTTATTTTTACTATAAAATTTTGCAACCAACTTTTTATTTAGCTAATCAACACATTCATTTCTTCTAACTAACATATCTTTTTAATACTATCACACGATTTGCACAAATTGCGCTTTAATATAATGATAGAAATATTTCTCTTATTAAATGCACTAGTGTTCAGGAAGAACCAAATCATCTTTTATTGGATGCTTTTCTTCGTTTCCGACACGAAGCAAGAAGATACTGAATACTGGCTGTTTTTACTTTATATTACTTGTCAGTTGAATCTTTTTCGTTTGAAGCCAAAATTATAACTTTGGCAAGCTAGCTTTTACAGTCTCTGCTTTTGTCGATTGGAACTACTGGTAGTGCTTGACAGAATCACCTCCCAAACCATTAATTTTTTCCCAAACGGTTCACTAATATCCAATATATCTCTAGAACTCCGAGCAATTATTTCGATCGTTTGGCACTTAGCCATAAATGCTTCATCCCATATTATCAATTTTTCTTTCCATATAAATTTAGCACCATTGCTCCACTTTGATATATTTGTGATGGTTATTTGAGTTGTTTGAAGAGGTATATCAAATCTATAGTGGGTGGCCTTACGATAAAATCGTTGTTGGTACACCACTTGCTATTATTGCTAAAAGTATCATGCCTCTTGATATGATATTTGCAAGTAATGCATGACATAGAAATATTATTTCAATTCCGTCGGAGGTGTCTACAAAGAATAATCTCGTTATACCAGCGTCGACTCTTTATAATATAGTCTTGAAAGCTTGTTCTTGTTTAGGATTTAGCTTTGATTGTGCTTCCTCAGACACTTGATAGCATTTTGATTCTTAATAATTTACTAACTTTTTTACTTTGTGTTCTAACGGTCTATTTTATGGAATAAATTTATGTACCCTAAGATTTTTTTTAACTTGAATAAGAATTTTACTCATATGATGAATGTGAAAAATAATTGAACTGGATTCTATAATTAATTAGAAGATTTAATTATTTGGTTTTAATATAAAAAATAATTTATTCTATGTTGATTCAGATCTTAATATTAGTTCATCTCTTGTTTTGAATATTTAATCTTAATTATAATTTTATCCACCATAAATTTATTTTCAAAGAGTAAAAGTTTGATATGACATTTCACTTTTAGATCTTTATGTTTGTAGAATCATTTGTAGTATTGACTCTTACCAACTATTTTTTTCTCTTTCTCACACATTTATATTCTTAAATATTTTCTTAGTTGTTGTTTAATAATTGGGTATCTTTCTATTGCTGTGATTTTTCTATTGTGAAATTGGTATGCTCGTCAAATTTTCAATTGTGTTGTTGCTATAGTAGTTTGGACGTGCATTCTAATCTCTGTTTCAAGTTTGAAAATTCAGTGGTGAGAATCTCAAAACCCACTATGGTGTGTTCTCTGGGTGTCGAAAAATTAAAGTTGACAATTCAATTTGTTGGTTATATATGGAGGAAATCAGCTGGGTGTTGTTGTTTGGAGCTTAAAATCGTGAATGTAACATTAATTTCGTGGATTTAAGTAAAGAACAAATTTGTACTCCATTTTTTGGGTTGCCAAAATTTGAAGTTGAAAAAAGACTCAAGAATCTAAAATTCTTGCTTGTTTCCTACCGAAATCGAGTGAATAAAAATAAAAATTGGAGCTTGAAATGGGAAGAATAACACTGATGTTTATAGATTTGGAAAAACAAAATCTCCATTGAAGAATTTGTAAGAATGCTTGAGAACATAAAATGGGTATTCTAATTTGGTGAAGTTTAAGCAAAGTATTAGGTGAAATTTGTTGAGAATATTAATATTGAGAAGTTATGGTTGCAACTTGAGTCAGTTTGATGAAAAACTTGGCCTTGTTTGGATTGAAAAATTTGAAGCAAAGATGAAGAACTCATGGAAGAAGAAGAAGTAGGGAGCCCGGAGGGGGTGGGGCTGGGGAAATATGTTTTAATTTTTTTTAATTGAGTAAATAAGTGACTTGGCAGCTGACATGGAAAAAATGGAGTGGGTCAGCTGCCACATTGGAGATCCGTTAGGGTTAGGGGCAATTTCATCAAGTTTGTTAACGATAGGGTGGGTTTTGGACGTAAAGTGAAATGGAGGACAAACGTGTACTATTTACAATAGTACAGGGGTAATAATGGCCTTTTTCCCTTTTTAATATTACACGAAAAAGTGATAAAAAAATATTTGAGTAGGAAGATAATTCAAATATAACATAAAAATATATTATTGTTGGAGTATTTTTTTTTCCTTCTCAATTTCAACTCTTTATGCAGTCTATTTAATATTACTTTTATTTTTTCTTCGTATTCTTCGACATTATGAGTGGTAATATATTGCCAATACGAAGGATTCTTATGAAATTGATTTTATTAAACCTTCCTACATATTTTTTTTTAATAAGAATTTAATAGATAAAATTTTATTAATTTTAAAATCTTAAATATTAAAAATTAGCATAGAAGGTATTGTAGTCCGAAAATAGGTTATTGCAGTTATGTCCTTTCCCTGTGAGTTCTTCCGTTTAATATCTTAGGTCTATTTTGATATATTAATATTGTATTTATGCTTTTATAATAATATAGGCTTTCGTTTTTCTAAATGGATTTGGACAATATAATACATTCTCAAATTAAATTAGTAATAGGATATTATAATACGTTTTCAAATTAAATTAGTAATTAGAATTTTTAAGAAGTATATCTTAAAGGTAATAGGATTACATGACTAAAGATATTTACTTGTTCAATTTTATATGAATAAGACAACCCGAAAGTAATTATACTAATAGGATTCCTAAAGTTAATCAACGTGTAGTATTATGTCCTAAAACTAATAGGATTGTAAGGCTAATATCTAGAATTCCGGTTATGTCCTTTTATTATGAGTTATTATGCTTAATATTATAAGGTTATTTTTGTAAACCGACGTTGTATTATAATAATATAGATATAGATTTAGACTATTTAAATATAATCACAATAATAGTGACTGTTTGAAATAGCATAATTTAAAAGTGGATTCAATCTAATAGCATGTTTGGTAAAGCACTATAGTTTAAAGCCTAGTAATCATTCGTAGCTAACCAACGCGAAATAAAGGATACAACCTATATACAATGGTGTATACAAAGGATACAACATGTATCGACTGTATTCAAACGCGCAATGAATACAAAGAAGACGAATACATAAATACAGAAAAATAAAATGCTTTTACTGACAGTCGAACTCAAGACCTTCAATAACTAAGCAGACGTTCTAACCAACTAAGCTACGAGAGCTTGTTGCTCGCTTATATCAGTTCAAAATAATTAATATCTTGTTTCGTGGATTAGCTATAAAATTCAAATATAGCCATGAATAGTAAATTTGCTGAAACTATAGCTACAAATAGTAAATACAATGTATATGTTTGACGTGTCGCGTAATTTATCCTTTAAAAATCAGCTTATTTTGAGAAGTGTTTTTCTTATAAGTGCTTTTTAAAAAAAATATTTTTGGTGAGAAGTAGTTTGTGTTTGGTTACTTAATTTGAAAATCATTTTTAAACATCAATTAGTATTTGACCAACCTCTTAAAAAGTGCTTCTAATTGTATTTTTCTCAGAAGTATTTTTCAAAAAAGTACTTTTGAAAAAAGTTACTTTTTTACTTCTCAAAGATTGATTCTGTTTTTATTCAAAAATATTTTATTTTATTTTTAAAACTTGGTCAAACACTTTAATTTGAAAAGAGAAAAAATACTTTTAACTTGGGCAAAGGGGCTATAAAATTTGATTTCTTGATAAGATAAAGTAGTGTGGCGGTATTCATAGTTGACATGTCATTTTGTTATTGACCCGTCATCAGCTGACATTGTGAAGGCTTATCTTTTACATCCTCGTAATCTTATTTCTTCCTTCTTGCTTACTGACCGGTAAAAAATTAGCAGTACAACTGCTGTCTTTTTAGATTCCTGATACGATAAAAGTTTTATTTATTTTTTCTTGGGTATCTCTCTTTCCGAATTTGCAGTGTTGATGTTCCCAAAATCCAAACTTTAAAGCCTTGGGGGGAGTTGTGATGGCATTAGCAGCAGCCACTTTCAACGCTCCAATTCTTGCTTCTGGTTTCAACCTAAACAGCTTTAGTGGCCGTACTTCTTCTAGGCAAGTACATTAATTTCCCTTGTATTCCTTACTTTGGCGTTGTGGGTGTTACATATTTATCCCAAACTAGAGTTTTTGACTGAAAAATTTGTGAATATGAGCTTAATTCAAAAAGAGGACAGAGCTGGTGTTAAATGAGTTTCTAAAAGAGAATTAGGAAGGTACTTTTGTTTAATAAAATAGTAGTAGTATTACTTAATGTTTTAACGAATTAGTATAATATATTTAGAAGCTGACTATGCAAATGCTAGAATATGATTAAAGAACTTTCCACAGACGTTGATCATCTATTGGGCTTGATTCTTGAAATTGTTAGCAAAATGCTTAGGCAAACAATTTCAAGTTCAGCTTTTTCCCACATTCTGCCCTTGACCTTATGTGGCTTGACAGGAATTTTATTTGTAAGACTTGTTCACTAGCGTCGCACGTCACACAAAGATCAATTGGAAGATCTGGCAATGAGATTAACTTTAGATGGAAGGAAGTCAAGCAACGGCATTCAAGCCGGAGAGGTTTCTTCACATGTAGATATGATGCTACTACCTCTAAGGAAAATGAAGAAAATATTTCACAAGCTACTTTGATATGGAGGGCAATCAAATTACCAATATACTCCGTAGCCCTAGTTCCTCTAACTGTAAGTTTTTAAGTCATTAAACTATGTTAGTGTTTTAGAGGCTCCTTTTTGAGTTTTAACATTTTCAACTAGATATGTTATTTGAATTTGGGATTTAAACCTACGTGATCGGACTCATGTTTGTTAAGATTCAAAAATGCATGCAACCATTAAGAGTGCCAGTCGTGTGAAACCAAACTATACAATGCTGCCTGTGGATACTTGTTAAAGATGTTCTCTTAAATTGCCTAGCAAGAAAAATGCAACTTCAACTTCACAAGAACGGCGCATAAAAATTACTGTACATCACAATAAGATAATAAATTGAACAGCCTGAACTGTTAATTCTCGAGAGTAATGAAGGATACTAGATTGGGGGGGGGGGGGTTATGTATTCAATTGGAAGAGCACGACCATGTTGCTCAATGTTGGCCTGGTGGCTGAATGTCCTCTTAAATCTTACTGTTCTTTTGCTGTTCATTAATAGGTGGGGAGTGCAGCTGCTTATTTGCAGACAGGCATCTTTTCTGCTAACCGTTATTTTATGCTGTTGGTGTCGTCAGTTCTTATCATCACTTGGCTTAATTTAAGGTGTGGGTTTTACTGTCATTGACAATTCTATTTACTACTTGATCTTGGTGGCAAGGTTGAACTACTTTGATGTGCACACCATCTAGTCAAAGTCATCTAGCTCATGAAGCACTTGATTAAATGACGATTAGATGTAATCAAATCCTCTTCAACCAGCATGTTAGCAAGTTAGCTCATAGAGTCCTTTTAGGTTCATGTTGTTGCAACACTTAATAAAGAATGGGCAGGGGTAAGCTGTTTAGCTTAGAGGGGTTAGTTCTTGAAATAATCTTTCTTTTTTCCTCTAGTCCTCTACTTTTTTTTATTTGCTTTTTATTATTTCTGTTCTCTCAGCCCTTAAGTGTAATTCCAAAGTGCATTGGCAAGAATTGTACAACTTGAGATTGTTTCGAAATATATGATAGAGATGTAAGAAGTATTGGGATCTTTTCGTTTGATTCATACTTATGTAATGGGAGAACTGAGTGTTGTATGGATAGATGGGCTAACTTAATAGATGACAGTGGTTGAGGCGTTGAGCGACAATCCCACTTTATACATACTCTTGACACTGTCCTCGTGCACTATGATAGAAATACGTTTTACTTACTCCGTGTGGCTTTTTTATCAATATCTCCGAAATATTGAACATCTCTTCCATGTCTCTTTCACTCTTTATCAATATCTCTGAAATATGGGCAGCAACGACGTTTATGATTTTGACACAGGAGCTGATAAGGACAAGAAAGAGTCAGTTGTGAACATTGTTGGCAGGTAAAAGCTTATACCGCTAAGTTGCACCATTACTTTTTTTTTTCCTTTGTCTTTTTATCTTACGTTAATTGAATAGAGTGATATATTTTAATTTTCTGAGTGAGTTCATGAAAGTGTAGATGGAGCTCTTATTTCAGTTCGTGAACATGAATTGTTCCTGTGATTTGCCCTTATAAAGTTGCGTTTAGACTGTTTCTTAAAAAGAAATTGCATTTGGACTGTGCTCATGCTGTAACCTTATATTTATTTGTTCATGGAATTACAGATTCAAAGTTGACTCACTTTGCTTTATAATTTTGTGTAAGCCGCACGGGAACATTCATTGCTGCATACTTGTTACTTGCCCTTGGTTTCTTTGGGCTTACCTATGCATCTGTGGAGGCTGCAAATATGCGTGCAATACTACTATTAGCTTCTGCAATCATTTGCGGTTACATATACCAGGTATTAATTCGAATAATTCAATCGTACTGGCATCTTCTATTTTTCTTATCTTCCGTATTTATACGTGCTATAGGTTAGTATAGCAAATTTCTAAATTCAACATCTTAATTGAAGTGGTAAAGATTCCCTGTATAAAGAAGAATCGGACTTGTTGACAAACAGTTCTTTCTCATAAGCCATATAATTGCTATAACACTTGGAAATCAAACTTTCTGCTCACAATATGTAATCCAAGTGAAATTCAATCCAAATTCCCAATCGTTACAACTGATAAAGGAGTAGTAGTTAAATTAAGTAGCATTCAACTATAATGAGACGTGGAAGAAGAGAGTGGGTGACAGGCTGGTGGTAATATGCCAAGTTAGAGCTGTAGAATTATGTACATGGCAGTTGGTAACTGCCTTAGTTCACTCAGTCGGGTAGTGGATAATTAGCTAGTGAAGTCGACTATTTACTGATTGTAATTAGTGTTGAATGATGTGATCAAACCATTTTAGTTTCTTCAGTTGCAACTTCTCGGACTTCCATTTCTCTCTTCCTCACTCCTACTTTACTCTGCTTCTATTTGGAGGTCCATTGATGGAGCTTGCTCAATATCAACTAGTTCTCAGTAAAAATGAAAAATAATTGTAGTAGTTTCTATTCTAGAACCTGTCTTGTCCTCCATTTTGTTCTCCAGGCTAAACTACAAAGAGCTTATGTTGATGGTTTCGACATAGGAATTAAAGAACTTTTGTGCTCATTGAATCTCTCTCAGATGTATTAGTCATTTTATTTGTTAATTGTCTCTCTTAGCTCTCTGTTGTGCCGTGTGGATTGTTATGTTTATAACTGAATTCCGTTGCTTCTAATTAAATGTCTTGTAGTGCCCGCCATTTCGGTTAAGTTATTTCGACATAGGAATTAAAGAACTTTTGTGCTCATTGAATCTCATGTATTAGTCATTTTATTTGTTAATTGTCTCTCTTAGCTCTCTGTTGGTGCCGTGTGTATTGTTATGTTTATAACTGAATTCCGTTGCTTCTAATTAAATGTCTTGTAGTGCCCGCCATTTCGGTTAAGTTACCAAGGACTGGGGGAACCCTTGTGCTTTGCTGCATTTGGTCCTTTTGCTACTACTGCCTTTTACTTGCTTCAAAGCAGCACGAGGTCTGTGTTATGATTATTACCCATAAAATAATGAATAAAGGTGTTTATGCCTGCCTGAATCTGGTCTATTATGCATTTCAGTGAGCTCCCAATCACTTATACAATTCTTTCCGCATCAGCACTTGTTGGTTTAACAACATCACTTATCCTATTCTGTAGTCATTTCCACCAGGTATTAAAGTCTCCATACCTTCCGTGCCTCCACCCTTTTAGGAGAGAATTTGTTAACCAAAAGTGTTTACCAGTAGTTGCAACTCATTCATCTGATGCAAACTTCAGGTAGAAGGGGATAAGGCCGTGGGAAAATTTTCTCCGCTGGTAAGTACACCTAGGTCAGACAATACAAGTTCAATTAGAAATGGAAGAACTAGTGGTCAATTGTTTTCATGCCTTTGAGTTCAGGTTAGGCTTGGTACTCAAGCTGGTTCCAGAGTTGTAAAAGTGGGTGTGGCAGCACTCTATTCAGGGATGCTTCTTCTTGGTTTGACTCAAGCACTTCCATTTACATGCATTGTAAGTATTTATCTGGTTTCTTAATGTCATTATGATAATTACTATTTTCCGACTATGTGCACCTTACTTGTTTTGGGAAGCTTCGCTCATTTGGTTTTAACCAGAAACAATTTCCTGAACCCTGTAATCACACTAAAGAAGTCTTTACTAAATTATGAAGAGACCTGTTATGGAATTTGTGCTGGCAATTTTATTGTTTTTTTTAATTTTCAAATTCTGAATGCTTAGATATGTGTCACTATGTAATCCAGTATCATCTTGTTCCAGATTCTTTGTGCTTTAACAATTCCAGTGGGAAAACTGGTCGTTAGCTATGTGGAGAACAACTATGAGGTGAGTGAAGATTTTGTTTTGTTCTTCCATAAAAATCTCGTCTTGGTCATTGTTGGGGTAGTGTAGGAAAAATAGAATGTGCAAATGTATATCCTCTTCTGGCTTTATCTACTTTGCTGTCTTTTGGGCAATTAATGTTCATTCGCCTCATGATATTAAACTTCAATTGTATAGGACAAAGCAAAGATCTTTATGGCAAAGTATTACTGTGTGAGACTCCATGCTCTATTTGGGGTGGCTTTGGCTGCTGGTTTGGTAGCAGCTAAAATGGTTGCTAGATATCATGTTCCAAAACCAATATTCTGACTCACCATTGTTTCCAGAATCAGAATTCATCAGGTGAGGCTTTTCGCAGTTATCTTCAAGAGCTTACACTTGTTTATTTAGCATAGTGAAGTATGAGTCTAGGATTTACGCGATAATTATGTTTCCTGATTTAGTGGCTACATCTGATCTCAGGAACTACCTGGCGCGAACACACATTGTGGCTGAGAGTCCTACAAGCATCATGGAGCAAATTTTTACAAACTTAGACTCTTCCGAATGTAAATTACAAGCAAAACTTTCTATACAGGGAAATTAGAAAGGTTGCAAAGTTCATGGCAGCAATAGCCTCAGTGGTTCTCATCGAATAGCCTGCAGTCTTCTTGGTTCAATTGTCATGGGGACATTCAAATTGCCCTTAGTTCAATAAATTTCCATTTTTTACGGTATTAGACTTTAGCACTGTGCTTGTTTTTTTTTTGGCAATTAAAGGAATTTTATTACCACAAGTAAATATTTGCAGAGCTATAAACATAAAATTATCCTTATATCCACTGGACATTGGCCCCAGTGATATAGGTCCCCAAATACTCCAATTCTCCTACCTATGCCATGACATATATCCCTTAGCCAGGGTAACAGTTAAAATCTAGTAGCTTCCTAGCTATCTTAGGGTGTGAATCCCCTCACAGAAAAATGTCTTGTATGATCAGCTTTACAATGATGCGTGTTGGTCTCTCTTCTTGTCGAAAAATTCTATAGTTTCTCTCTCGCCATACATAGTACAAGGCTCATCCTGTATACTTCAGCACTGGTGCTCTTCCCATTTTGATGAAGTATGGCCTATTGTAGCCCCTCCTCTCATGGTTGTGCTTGCCTTCACTCGAGAATATTGTCCCATATCGCTGCAGATGTTGAACACCGGAAGAATAAGTGATTGATGGTCTCTGGTGCTTCATTGTATAGTGGGCAGGTTTGGTCCTAGATCATTCCCCAATTGGCCAGCCTATCATTAGTGTATAGTTTGCCATGCGCAATCAATCTCATGTTGAAGATCCATATTGGAGATCCTTCGTTTGCATACTAATCTTCTCCACTCCACCTTAGGATGTTCCCCTAGCAGTTTCTTGTACGTTGCTTTGATAGAGAAAGATTCTAATTCCTCTTGTTCAGTGTAACCTGCATTTATCAGAGGACCTTTTGCCTTGAAAATCTTACTTACCGTCCGGGATGCTTGATTAATGCAGTTTCCCAGATTGGTTTCCCCTTACTATAGCATGTATGGATCTATGGGATCCATAATTTGTCTTTTTTGCGTCACAAGTTCCACATTAGTTTGCAAATAGCAGCTTTGTTCCAAATTGAAATGTTGAGCAAATTTAAGCCTCCAGCAGTAAGTGGCAAACACAGTTTTTCCCATGCTAAAAGGGCTTTCTTTGACAGCTCAGTTCCTCCCGTCCATAGGAATCTCCTACAAATTCTTTCTATTAGTAGTATCAGCTTCTTTGGGAGGACAAAAATCTGTGACCAGAATATCTGGATGGAAAATAAGACACTCCTCAACAGTTGTGTCCTTCCTGCATAAAATAAGTATTTAGTTGTCCATGATGTAATCGTGCTGAGCATTTTGTCCAATAGAGGTTGACACTGTACCAGGGCGAATCTCTTGGTACTCAAAGGAACACCTAGGTATCTTACTGGCAATTCACCTTTCTAGAATCTCAGTACTGTTGTATTTACCCAACCATAAGTATATGAACTTTTGCTTACATTAGCAACCAAGCCTGAGGCTTGTGAGAATTGCTGGAAGCAAGCAAATAGGCATTTAATAGAGCTTAAGTCCCCTCTACAAGTCCCCTCTATAGAACAACAATAAATCATCAGCAAAGCCTAGCTGCACCCCCTGTAGCTTCTTACACCTAGGATGGTATTTGAACTTAGCTTTATTCTTCAATCTTTTCAGTAATCTACTCAAGTAATCCATAGCTAGCACAAAAAGAAATGGGGACATTGGGTCACCTTGCCTCAACCCTTTTTTTGCTTCAAAGGGCTTGATTGGACAGCCATTAATGTTGATTAAGTAGTTTACTGCACTAAGACATATCATAATCCACTTAATGAAAGTGGCTAGGAGTTTAGCTCAGTCAATATCTGTTCTAAGAAGGACCATTCCAAAGTATCATATATCTTCTGCATGTCTATCTTTAGCATGCACCTTGGGGATATTCCACTCCTATTGTATCCTTTTACCAGTTCATGACTAAGGATTATGTTATCTTTGATGACTCTCCCAAGTACAAAGGCTCCCTGACTGTGGTCCACTAAGTGATCCATCACCTTCTGTAGCCTGCTAGTAATAACTTTGGAGATGTTCTTGTATAATACTATGCAACATGAGGTAGGCCTATATTCTTTCACTGTCGAGGAGTGTTTCACCTTTGGGATAAGTGTTACAGTAGTGCAATTTACTGGCCTGTGCATTTCACCTGTTTCAAAGAAGTCCAAGACAACATTGGTAATATCATTGCCTATAATATGCTAACCCTTTTTAAAAAACAAGGAATTAAACCCATCACAACCAGGTGCTTTATGGCTATCAATCCCCTGAACTGCTAGGGTAATCTCTTCCTCGGTCACAGGGGCAATTAGTTGAAGCTGCTTCTCCCTGTTGAGCACCTGACCTTCTTGCATTACTGTGGGATCAATACAAGGTAACTGGTTCCTTGCACTCCCTAACAGTTGTTTATAAACCTTAGTATCTCTTTCTCTATTGGTTCCTTTGTCTGCACAATCACCCCATCCTCTGTCATAAGGCTGCTTATGTGGTTCTGAGCTTCTCTATTTTTTACACAAGCATGGAAGAAAGTTGTATTCGAGTCACCCAGTTTTAGCCATTATACTCTGGACTTCTGCCTAGCAATGCCCTCCTCTATAGCAGACCATTTCTCTAGTTGTTGTTTTAGGCTTTTCTCTTCTTCAAATAACTGACAATGCTGGTTGTAGGTTCTCATTTGTTCCTGTAGGTCATGCAGTCGTTGCCTTGCTCTGTTGATTTTCTGCTAGTCAATTATATTGGCATATTCCTTGTTTCACTGCTTGCAGTTTCTTCCATAGTTGTTATAGTGTAATACTTTGTCCTGCATCTCCCCAATGTTCCTCTACTCTCGTTGAGAATTCCTGATGATTTGCCAAGTAATTGTAAAATTTGAAAGGCTTTGCCCTCCTCCTTGCCTTGTGCATATATTGACACAGAGGGGAGAATGATCTGAAAATATTGGATCAAGAATGATAGCTTCAGTTTGTGGCTAGCTATGCATCCATTCCGGATTCCCTAAGGCCCTACCTGTTCTAATATACACCTAATTATTTGTCCAAGTAAAGTCACGACCAACTGTTTTGAGTTCAGTAATAGAGGCATCCTGCATGAACTCATTGAAGTCTCTGATTTCTCATTCTTGACTGGGTTCTCATTCAATCTGTCATCAGTGTTAGTTATAGCATTAAAATCTCCCATTAGTAGCCGTGGTCCATGTTGCATTCCTGCATATCCTCTTAATTCCTGCCATAATGCCTTTCTATCATTGATAGTATGTAGCCCATAAACTGCAGTTAGACTAAACTCCACATGAGTTGTTTTCACCATCCCAAGTAAACATTGTGTACTATTAGCAATGTGACTGAAGTCACAATGGATTGGATCCCACAGTATCCAAATTCTCCCTTTCCCATTGCTTTGATAATTGCTACACCATTTCCATGTCTTAGCTATTTTCTTGACTATAGGTAGTGCACTACTGCTGAACTCTGTGTTCAATTATTGCCAGAATACCAACCTTCTTCACCTTAATAAACTGCCTTTTCTTCTGCTTATACACCTTATTCACCCCTCTTACATTCCATGTTACTATCTTCATCATAATGGAGGAAATGATTGAGGATTCAGAACTTCTACATGATCAACTTTCTCCTTTGCAAGTTCTGCATTTGTCTCAACTTCTTGGGCCCTTAAGCAATCAAACCCATTCGTAGTAGTAACAGCATTATCGGTTGAAGATGAGGCTCCTTGCTTGCTGATCTTCCCTTTGCTATTACCCAGTCTTCATTAGCCCTCTGTTTCCCTGTGCCCTACCTTTCATTAGTGGTTTGCATCACTTGTGAGGTTTGACCATGGTCGTTGATGTGCGGCCCATCCAATGCTTGTCTTTGTTGCCATATTGCCTTTACCACCTTTGGCTTCTGCTGCTTCTCCTTGATCGGTAGCTCAACTTGCTTCTGTTTTGAATTTGCCTGGACTTGTCTATGATTGTTTGGATTGTTTATTGGCTCTTGTTGGCAGGTATGTCCCACTTGGAGGCAAGTGTGGCAGTATAATAGTTTCCAATCATACTCAATTGGTTGACTGAACATCTTGCCATTTAGATCATGCACTTTCACACTTGCTAGTAATTCCTTTGTGACATCCATTTCCACTAGGATCATGGCATATGATATGTGATCCCCCTGACATACAAGCATCAGTAAACAGGGGTCTACCCAGTCCACTTCCTATTCTGCTAAGTGTCTTCAAACCCCAGCAATTTAAAGGTAGGTTAGGCAGTTGAACCCACAAGGGAATGGGACGCAGAACTTCATCTCCTAGGTTAAATTCAGGTGACCATGGTTTGACAATTACAGGTTTGTTGTTAATAGCATAAGGCCTAGAGTACAAAACTGCATCCCTATCTTCTAAATTAGCAAACTGGAAGGAAAGCGTCAAAAAATAAGAAAATAAGTTAAGCCGGATTTCTCGTGACTATCCAAGAATTTCAATATTTGAATCGAGGTTTCAAATGGTAAAGCTTATCTGATTTTATTTATTTTAGATTTTTTTCTCGAATAAAAATGACAAAGGAATCATCGTTGTGATGGTATACCTTTGGTTTTGCAGCAAAGTTCCAGCTCATTGCAATAAATCTTCGTTAAAATATCATGGTATAGCCAGTTTTCACACTGGTCAATGAAAAATAGCCAGCGTTTATCAAGTCAATGAAAAATAGCCACTATTTTGCTGCAACAGGGACCGGTCCAGTATAATATACGGGAGTTCTGGTGCATTTGTGTACGAACTCCAGCATATTATGCTGGACCGGTATACTTTGCTAACTCCTGTAAAATTTGCGGGAGACTGGAGCACCAGTGCTCCAAACTCCAGTATATTATACTGGACAATTATACTTGCTGGAACTCCCGTAAAATTTGCGGGAGTTCCAGCATAATTATGCTTGAACTCCCGTAAAATTTGCGGGAGTTCCAGCATAGTTATCCTGGAACTCCCGTAAAATTTACGGGAGTTCAAGCATACTTATGCTGGAACTCCTGTAAAATTTGCGGGCGTATTATTCCGGATTTTGAACAGTGTTTTCGCTCAGATTTAAAGTGGCTAAATTTCGATGACTTTTGAAAACTTGGCTATTTTTCAACGACCAGTGGTAAATCTGGCTATTTTTGAATTTCTCCCTAAATCTTCCCACAACTCCAATTGACGGAGAGTCGCCCACCACATATAGGATCAGTGTCCTATTCAAAAATAGCCAGATTTACAAGTGGTCATTCAAAAATAGCCACAGTTTCAAAAATAATCGAAATTTAGCCACTTTTCATGTAAAGATAAATCTGAACGAAAACACTAATCAAAATCTGGAAAAATACTCTAGTATAATATACTGGAACTCCAGTATATTATTCCAGAGTTCCAGCATAAGTACACTGGAACTCCGGTATAATGTACTGGAGTTTCAGTATAATACACCGGTCCAACATAATATACTGGAACTTTCCGCGTGTTGGAGTTCCAGCATAATATGCTGGAAGTTCATACACAGGTTTACCGATCTCCAGTATATTATGCTGGAACTTTCCGTATTGCAGCAAGATAGTGGCTATTTTTCAATGACTTTGCAAACGCTGACTATTTTTGAATGACCAGTCCGAAAACTGACTAGCCCGTGCTATTTTTACTCACTGGTGAGATGTATGTTAGGCTCATTCCCTTCGCTGCCAATTTGTTACCAGTTGGGAGATTTGCCCATGTTTTCCCTCTGATTTCAGCACTGTGCTTGTTGCAATCTATTATTCCTCCATATTTTTTGTCATATATTTTCCCTCATAAAATAAGAAGGAACGTCCTGTTTGCCTAGTGGTGACTGATTTTGCTGCATTTCCACTTGTAAACTTGATAGATTTTTGTCGGAAGAAAGATATAGAAAAGTTCTGATGCTAGAGAAACTAATTAGTGAGGAATCATATAACTAACTCCACTTGCTCGGAAGAAAGGCATAGTTGTTTATTGAGAAATTAACAGCTATGTCCATTAAGTAGCTCATTACAAAAATTGACTAATATTAGTCAAATATTATTAATATTAGCCATTTAGCTATTTGTAGCAAAAAAAAAAATATCAAATTTTTGCTTTCTTTTTAGTGGGTGTTTTAGAATAGATTGGGTACATCTTAATGAGCTTGAATCTCAGTTTTGGGATGATTTGGTGAAGTTTTGAGGTGGTTTGAATTGAAAATTCGAAATAAAAACTGAACATGATAAAAAATGATATATGTATCACACTATGTATCATTTGTGTATCACATATGTATCATATTTGCATCAGTTGTGCATCACATGTATGTCCATGTATACATGTGTGTGTGAGATACATGCGTGATATATGTGTCGCAGAAGAGTTTTTTGAACTTGATTTATTTATGAATTTTGATACAAAACCAGTCCAAATCACCTCCAATCTTCCTCAAATTTTGTATATTGACTTACCTATATGTTTTCAATGAATTTCAAATATACCCATTGAAAAAGTTCCTTTTTTGCTTAGATTTTTGGAAATATATATATATATTTCATCACCTTTTTACTACCTCATCCATGAAATTTTCTTTTCGTCTTGCATCTAATGTTGCTAATCACGCTTTAAAATATGGAAGATGATTTTTGCATGTGATTCTTTGAGAGAAATAACCTTATTTATTTAGTTTTTCAATTTGTATATGTGCATGGCTAGTTTTGGCAAGTCTATGACTAATGGTTAGAGGTTGGTATGTTGAGACTTATTTGGGACATTTGTGTAAGTTTCCCTTGTTTATTTGTAAAATCAAAGTCTAAAGGCAATAAAAATAGCACGGGCTAGCCAGTTTTCGGACTGGTCATTCAAAAATATCTAGTGTTTACAATCATTGAAAAATAGCCACTATTTTGCTGCAACACGGAAAGTTCCAGCATAATATACTGGAGATCGGTGCACCTGTGTATGAACCTCCAGTATATTATGCTGGAACTCCAACACGCGAAAAGTTCCAGCATAATATACTGGAGATTGGAGCACCTGTATGAACTTCCAGCATATTATGCTGGACGGGTATATTATACTGGAACTCCAGTATATTATACTGGAACTCTAGTATATTATGCTGGAGTATTTTTCAGATTTTGAATAGTGTTTTCGTTCAGATTTATCTTTACATGAAAAAGGCAAAATTTCGATTACTTTTGAAACTGTGGCTAGTTTTGAATGACCGCTTGTAAATCTTGCTATTTTTGAATTTCTCCCCTAAAGGCATCATTGGACTTTTTGACTCCAAACGGGCCTAAAGAAATCATAGGCAGGATACCGTAAAAATTGCACGGGGCGCCCTATTTGATCGCCCCCATTTAACCTATACCCATTTTTTTTTAAAGTTTTAACTTGTACCCACTTTTTAAACAACTTCAGGCCCCTTTCTCCTCCTCCTTCTCCTCCTTCGTCTTCTTCTTCTTCTTCTTCTTCTTCTTCTTCTTCTTCTTCTTTCTTCTGCTGTTGGTGCTGCTATGAAACTTCAGTTCATGGGATGATTGCCATAAGTATGTTTATCAGATTATTTAAAAGCAAATTATAAATAATTACATACGTTAGTAGACAATAATTTGTGAATATTTCCACGTACGGGAAGTTTAAGGTCACACTTAGTGATTCTTTTGATGATAATTCTGTTCTTTTCATGTTTATTGTTTCCAAAATTTATGATTTAGATATCGTTGGCAATCTGATTATTTTATAGTAGTAATACACTATGAAAGAATAAGGTGATTATTTATCTAGTATGTTAGAAAGCTTTTTCAAAAACTTCAGCTTATATAGTGCTGAAGTTTTTACAAATGAACTAAATAACTTCAGCACCTTCTGCTGAAGTTTTTGAAAAAGCTTTATGATAAAACTAATGAATCCAGGACAAAAAAACTTCAGCTCATTTAGTGCTGAAGTTTTAACAAATGAACTAAATAACTTCAGCAGAAGATGCTGAAGTTTTTGAAAAAGCTTATCCAGGACAAAAAAACTTCAGCTTATTTAGTGCTGAAGTTTTTACAAATGAACTAAATAACTTCAGCATCTTCTGCTGAAGTTTTTGAAAAAGCTTTATGACAAATTAATGAATCCAGGGCAAAAAAACTTCAGCTTATTTAGTGCTGAAGTTTTTACAAATGAACTAAATAACTTCAACATCTTCTGCTGAAGTTTTTGAAAAAGCTTATCCAGGACAAATAACTTCAGCCCCGTATGCTGAAGTTATGCGAAAAAGTGGGTACGCTTGCAATTTTTTTTGCAAAGCGGGCACAAGTTAAAACGTGACCCAAAAAGCAGGTATAGATGCAAATGCCCAGGATACCCGCCTGTGTCAGATTTTCAATCAATATGGACTTTATATTATTTGAAATTTGAGCCATAAAAGTAGAAGAGCAGTTCCAAAACCTCAAATTTTGTATTACTACACTAACATCACAGCTCAGGCATTTGCTCATTAATCCGCAAGATTAGACATAACTAACTTTTTCCCTCATAAATAGAGGAAATTTATGGTTGAACTTCATCAGCTTTTTATGTATTTTTTTTTTCTAGTCGTATCACAGTCACATGCAGTATCCATCCATAAGAAAACTTCAACAGATATGCCAAAATAGCAAAAGAAGTATATAATATGCGCGCATACTGTGCCATTAGCCAATTTTTGTCTTGCTTCAATCTCCAAACAAGAAAAGAAAATGAGTTACCAAAAAAACAAAGAACATGACCAAAACAATTTTTTAACAGTACACCTTAACAATCTGGTGCAGCATTCTACATTTAGAAAGGTGTTGTTTATCAGCTTGGTGTTTGCTTTTTTCTGCGCCACTAGCCAACTTTTGTCTTGCTTCAATCTCCAAGAAAGGTCTGTTTATCAGATTGGTGCTTGAAACTCGGGTGCGGTGCTGACAGCCGGGAAAATGAGAAAGCGCAAAATTGCATATGTTAGCTGTCAGCTGATGCTTCATGTGCAAATGCTCAGTTGTGAATGTGGGCTACCTCCTGTTACATTGCAAAGTGGAAACACAGCTGTGGTGAGAGTACTGAATTGGTTCGGAGTACAGTGAATGATGCCAGGCACAATAAGAGAGTTAAGATGTAACTTTTTAGTGCATCCACGAGGTTCCAGTTTGTATAGATTAAGTGTAGGTTCTCTACTTTTTGGTATACTTGTTGTATAACAACAACAAGAAGAAGTTGTTGTATAATGACAGAGACATGTATAACGAGTTCATTAATAAAATTATAGACAATTTTATTTCGAATCAGAGACATGTTAGTTGCCAATATTGTAACTATACATTGTCACACATTACCATGCATTGTCATCAAGGAGTGTGCATACAGAGTTTTGTGAAGAGGCTGCTGCAACAACTTCCATACCATTCCAGGGCAGAATGACAGAATGAGCATGCTGAAGGAAACTAAGGACAAATGCGCCAAAGTCCACATTTAAGAGTTATCAGACACTTAAGGTTAGCAGATATGACAAATCAAAAAAATAATGACGAATCACTGCTCATATCCAGGAGGATGAGTTTCTTTTGGTATTAGAGTTAACCAAACTGGATTTCAGCCAATCACCCTGAACTACTTCATCTTTGAAGGATAGAAAAATTGAGATGTTATTAGTATGGGGTAAAGCTAGTTTAATGTCTTTATAACAGGAAAAAGACAGAAGATTTGGCAAATAAGAAGCCAGACACCCAGTTGTCACTTGGTAGTATAAAGCATGTGGTTTTTGTTATCTATGGCTTGTGTTTAAAAATGTCAACTATCATTAAACATCCCATAAGAAAATTTTAGAACTATACATTTGATTAACTTAGAGATCTTATCTAAGATTCTCAGTACAGGAAGCAAGAGTCCACTCGTTTCAAATCACCATTCAGGAGCATATACATTCAAAACTCGTTCTCTATCCAAACCATTCAGGAGAAACACAGATTAAGAGGGAAACAAGTGAAAGTTCCCAATATTTGGGTTAACAAAACCGTTAAATTAGTCAGTGCATGCCTTTTCTGTTCTTGTTCAGATGAAGCTTTCAACAGAGGTTTAAGAGCCAGACTAGAAAGAGAAAAGAATGAAGACTTCAACATAGATGTACAAGAATGGAAAAGAAGAACAAGCAGCTTCATATGTGTTAAAGCTTAGATTTATCTTTCTTTCAAAATTTATTTCAACATAAAGAAAGAATAACAGAGAAATTGGAAAAACATGAGGCTCATAGTTAAGAAAAGAGACAGAATGAAAGGAAACTTAGAGGCAAACACCAAGAATAAAAAGTTAAGGATAAACAATAATCACAAAAATCAGAGAAAAGAAAAATCAGAAAAAGGACAAAACAAATTAAACGAAGAAGGGCTTGAAGGAGAAGTTACATTACCTGAATCCATAGGTGCCAGCAAATTCACGGACAAGATTTCCAGCATACTGCAACTCTTGGAAGGGACCTTACTACAAGGTGATGTGAGCCATCAAGGGCCCGCACTTAAGCGGGCCCAATAGCTATGTGTAAAAGTTCATAATTAGAGACCGCTAAATAGGTATAACGAAGGAATTAATTCTTGCTTTTGAGACGATGTGGGACAAAGTAGCATGCAGATACGGTCATATCTTCCTTCTTTACAACTGCACTTACATTGCTGAATTATTAAGCTACCATTTATTTCTACATCTTTCCAATACTACTTTTGGCACCAAAATCACGATATAAAGTGTGTGATCTCTAGAAAGGTGATTCTCTCTATTCTTGTTTAAGAATTAAGATTGACAGATTATAGCAGCCTCCTAGATTGATTGTGGTTGAATTAATATACTTTTAACTATCATACGAGTGCCTAATTAATGTGACTCTACAAGCTAAGTCGACGGTCATTAAGGATTTCAAATGTAATGAATGGAAACTACCAGCTACCATTATCGTAAATTTGGCTTAACATCAGGAGTACAAATTCACAAGAAAATAGATCAATAGATTACCTATTTACACCCTATAGCAAATAATACCACCTATGAAGGGTAAGAAAATCGCAAACAATAGGCTCAGACAAGAGAACAAGCAAAGAGTACAACCTGGTTGACACTGCGATATGCCAATATCTCCTCAAAGATTAAGCAGTCATTGCACTTGGTTTGTGATAAAGATAGATAAGACCATAACAAAGTCCGACCACCACATTTTTGGCATACATAGCAATTCTCATGAAAAGAATAATTCCGAATACGAATATGATAATACTTGGTTTAAAAGAGTTGGAGAGACATCCATCCAAGAAACATGTCACCCTTACTGCCACTTGTTGCATGTCCTCAAGGTCTTCGTATAGGAAATAGGCATACACAATTCGTACCTTGAGAGGTCATTTGGTTCACAGACTAGTTTATGCAGGGATCATGATAAAGGATTTTTATGCGGTAAATGACAATGTCGAGATTGTTATGAGATGAATAATACTACATTGATTGTTATGCAGGAATTGCCTACTTTAAAAGCATTATTTATGCTTCTAGATACTCTTATCCAAGTATCGCTAATACATTATTATTTTCCATATCCTATCCCGCACAAGATAATACATCGATTCACGCATAAATTATGTTGGTATTAGCTATACATATTTTAGTACCACAACAGAAGATGTACTTGTAATGCATATTTTTACACCGGAGACCAAATGTTGTACTAGTTATGCGGAAACTAAATTAGCAATAGTAAATTAGTTATCCAGAATTTTATGTGAGATTATACTTCCTGATCTGGCCAACAATTTTCTAGACAGGACTGGATCAGATACCCTATTTTTAATTCTATTTACCTCCCGTTTTGCGTAGTGCCCAACCAGGAAGCTGAAAGTCCATATTCGCCTACGTAATCTCCTTGTACATTGACGCTAGTCTATCTCCTTTATAAAAAACACACTAGTCTATTTAGTGATTCTTATTTGTTCACCAAACAAAGAGCCAGATAAAAGGCCAAATGAGCATCTAATCAGATCTTAGAGTATATCAAGAAACATCAATTATCTCTTTATTTGAATAAATGCCATGAAAAAGAAATACCAAATGTTATCAAATGAAATACGGAGGAAGATAAGAAATGTCATGAAAAAAGAAATAAAAAGGTATCAGTCAGAAGATAACAGTGGAATCTTATCTGCTGAAATAATCTGCATTAACTTTCTCCTTGTATCATCTGTTGTAGAGGGCTCGCCTTTACCATTATAAGGATACAGACACACACAAACACACATTTAGAAAGTGAAGTGGCCTTTACGTCCCAAACTTAAAGACCAATATGATCCTTTACACCGACCAATGGCATAACATGCTTCAAACCTTGCAAACCACTACCACCACTCAGGAGAAACACATGGAATGTTTGAGGACTCATATAGAATAAACGGAAAATACTATTTAGAACCACCTCATCTTCCCCTGAATTACATGCCAGCTAATGCAAGAAGCAATTTCATCTAAAGCTCCCCCCCCCCCCCCACACACACACAAAAAAAAATGACTCATCTTGCATTAAAGCAAAAGTTGTGGTCTTGGCAAGAGATTATAGATCTAATTCTAGTTGTTCTTCAAATAGACATTGGTTATCACCTCTAAAACTTAAACAAATTTAGTTTTCTAGTCAATTGCTTACAACTACATTTGCTTTTTCATGTCCATTTTATCTTCGTTGAAATTACAACTGTATTGTGTCCCTTTCCTTTTTCAGCTTTACACCCTGTGCACCAAATATAAGCACTATTAAGTAACCAAACAACTACATACATTTTATTAAGACAAAAATGTGAAAGTTTAATAATACAAAACTGAGATGAAACAAAAGAAAGAAAATGATTGTTTCCTGAAGAGAAGGAGCCATGTAAGTTTGCTATTGCAGAATGTTTTGTGCCTGTCTCTATACAATGTAGAAAATTGCAATAAAGGATTTCCAAAATTATAATTAATGGGATCTTTCCACATTCTTGATTCCTACAAAAAAAATATATTATTTACCCCCAAAATTGCAATACCTAGATTGAAACCGAAGCTGAAACTGAAAGAGCAATACATTTGGGTCCAAGGAATGTACCCAACCCGGATGGGATATAAATGGCGAGGATTACAACATCTTAGGATTGTGAATCGCAAGGACAACGGTCAGCTAGGGTTTCGACAGAGCTGATTTGGGAATTGGTTTGTATCCGGGTCATGGACTCTTTTGGTAGAAATGACACCGCGTAGCCACTCTAAAGGACTGTTGTTTAAGAATTAGCCTGTGCTTCCTAAATTTGTGTTTTTCGATTCAAATTTAGGGACAAAAATATCCTGAATTGTGTTGAAGTTATGATTTTTAGTTTAAAATTTCAAGACAAAATAAGTACTGACTAATCTCTAAATAGCATCCCTGAGAATGGCTATATGTGCACTTGTTGCTGACTCTTTTGTGTTTCTCAGTTGTTGGGTCACCATAAAGACCAAGGAGAACAACTTTCTGTTGAGATAAAAGATGTAACCTGAATGTAAGGGTAGTTTAGTCTATTTATGTATTACCGGATTAGTGAGTTAGTTAGTTAGCTAATGAAGTGAGTGATTGGTTAGTAAGGTGGTTATGTTAGTTAGTAAGTCATGTATATATAGATAGGTTGTACAAGTAATGATACACAGAGAATTGATTTTCATTGTTCCATTCATTTTGAGGCTTCTCTCGGATAACTGCTCCTCTCATCTCCTCTCCTCTCTTCTCCGTCGTTGGTTAGGGTTTCTGCTTCATCTCAATTCTCTATTTCAGCATGATATCAGAGCTCGAGCTCTGAATTGAAGCTCGCAAATCGATCATCTGTCTTCTCCTCTGCTCTATCTTCTTCTCTGTATTATCGAGTCAATTGAGATCTCGATTTTTCTGATTCGAAACTCCAAAGAACTCAACAATGGCGATTGATGATTTGGAACATGAGAATGCAACTGTCACAACTGAAAATGCATCGCATGCATCCTCCGATAATGAATTTGAGGAAGGTGTTACAGTTGCAATCACACATCCTCTATATCTAGCTCCTAGCGATACAAGTGGAATTTCATTGATTTCATTTCAGCTTACCGGCACTGATAACTACTCCCTATGGTATCGATCTATGCGTATTGCTTTACTTGGCCGCAATAAACTTGAAATTGTAGATGGCAGGTGGCCAAAAGAGTGATTTCATGAGAAGTATTTGTATCAATGGGAAAGATGCAATGCAATTGTGTTGTCATGTTTGATGAATTCAGTTGCACCAACCTTCATCAGTGGTATTGCATATGCCACTCGTGCACAGAAAGTGTGGATGGATCTACATGAGCGCTTTGATAAAGTGAATGACACTCATTGCTATAATTTGCACAAGAAAATAGCTACCTTAAGTCAAGGTACTTCTTCTATCTCTGTCTATTATTCAAGGCTCAAGGACCTCTGGGATGAGTTTTGAATCTGTAGTACCCACTCCTGGCTGTGATTGTGTCAAGTCAAAGGAATTTGTAATACACCTAGGAAAGCAAAAGGTGTATCAGTTTCTAACGGCTTGAATGACTCTTATTTTCAAGCTCGTAGTCAAATTCTTATGATGAAGCCACTTCCTTCAATGAACCAAGCATATGCTATGCTCATGAGTGATGAGAGTCAAAGAGATGTAGCTGTTTCTGTTGGAGTTTTAGGACCTTCACCCATTGTAAATGCACATTCTTATGACTCAACTGCACTATATAGTGGTAAGCCTAGTTTCCATCCAAAGTTCAAGAAGAATTATAACATCTAGTGTGAGTTTTGCAAGATGAAGGGCCACAATAAAGAAAATTGCTTCAAAATAATAGTTTATCCACCAGATTAAAAATTCAAAAAGAAAGGGGGAGCTGGGGCTTATAATGTAATGGTAGAACCTGGGTACACTATGCCTATATACTCCAACCATACCTCCAACCATGTTCCTCAGAATATACCAATGCATCATATGCCTGCATATCAAAGTCACCAACACGTTATAAGTCAAGGTGCTAAGTATTCTCAGGCACATGGTCATAATGGTCCTCAAGTTCAGGCAGGCTCCTCTTCTATACAAGCACGGGGATCGGTAAACACACTGGTGACAATAATATTTAAGACAGAAGCACTATTAAAGAAGTTTTCTATGTACCACAATTCAAGTTCAACTTATTATTAGTCTCCAAAGTGACAAGAGATCTTAAATTCTTTACCTCACTTTCTCATGATTTATGTGTATTTCAGGAATTCAGTGGCAGGGTGAGGAAGATTGGTAGGGAAAGAGATGGTCTATACTTCCTGCAGAGACATGGTGGTAAGAAGCTCACTGCAGTCTTCTTAGCTGTTGCTGGAATAAAGTCAAGACATGGTGACATTAATGTTGATGTTGCTTTGTGGCATAAAAAACTAGGCCATGTATCCAGTATTGTTCTTATAAAACTGTTTACTGCCAAACTAGCTAGTATCAATGACGCTATCAATAAATGTAGTGTATGCCCCTGTGCTAAGCAAACCAGGTTGTCATTCCCTTCTAGGTGTATTATGACTATTGTTGCATTTGATCTAATACGTCTTGATGTTTGGGGTCCATATAACTGTGCAACCTTTGATGGCAATAAGTATTTTCTAACAGTTGTTGATGATTTCACTAGGATGACTTGGTTATTTCTGCTGAAGCTCAAATCTGACGTGGTGTGCTTACTCAACTTGTTGTATTTGTTCAAACTCAGTTTAACAAAACAGTGAAAGCAGTCAGGTCAGATAATGGTTCTGAGTTTGTCAACTCTACTTGTAGCACTTTATTTTAGAACTACGACACTTTATTTTAGAACTACGGCATCATACATCAAAAACCTGTACCTATACTTTTCAGCAAAATAGAGTTACTGAGACGAAGCACGGGCACATCTTAGAAGTCACAAGAGCTTTAAGATTTCAGGCCAATATTCCTATCAAGTACTGGGATCAATGTGTGCTTGTAGCAGTGTACATCATAAATAGGATGTCATCTTATGTTCTTCATGGTCTTTCTCCCTTTAAAATGCTATATGGTATGGCACCTGCCCTGGGACATTTGAGAATAATTGGTTGTTTGTGCTATGCCAAGCAAGTTCATGAAATAGACAAACTTCTTCCCAGGGATAAGCCAGCTGTTCTCATGGGCTTTTCTAATACTCAGAAGGGCTACATTCTATTAGATCTTTCTTCCCATTATTTCTTCATCAACAGGGATGTCTCATCCAGGGAAGATATATTTCCCTTCAAAGATATTGCAACCCCATCACCTCATATTTTCTTGCCTCCTGACTTGTCCATTTTTGGTGAAGAGCAACCTTCACTCTCTTCTATTCTTGCTAGGCATGAGACTGCTGATTCTTCCCTGCAGCATCAATCGGCATCAGATGTGGTGCCTTCAATATTTCCTCCTCTTGATCAAAACTCCAATGTTTTAAGGAGATCCTTGAGGACAAGGCAGGCTCCCATCTGGATGAAGGACTTTGTGTCACAACCAGGGCACAAATCTCTTCCCTACTCTATTGCTAATTATGTGTCCTATGATGGCATTTCTCAAGTATCAGGCCTATTTGGCTGCATTCTCTACTATTCAGGAGCCTACTACTTTTGAACAGGCTGCCCAAGATCCTTGGTGGGTTGAAGCTATGCAGGCTAAAATTGCTACATTAGAATCCAATCACACCTGGGATGTGGTGTCTTTACCTGAAGGAAAGGTGCCTATCGGGTGCGCGTGGTTCTATAAGATGAAGTATAAAGCTACAGGGGAGTTGGAAAGGTTTAAAGACAGGCTTGTGGCTAAAAGGTACAACCAGCATAAAGGCATTGATTATCAAGAGACATCTAGCCCAATAGTTAAGATGGTTACTATCTTAGTTGTGGCTGCCTCTGAGCATTGGCACATTCACCAGATGGATGTGTACAATGCTTTTCTTCTAGGAGACTTACATGATGAGATCTATGTGACTCTATCACAGGGCTTTGAGAGTTAGGGGAAGGCAAGACCAGCATGCAGACTCTTGAAATCCCTGTATGGGCTCAAACATGCACCAAGACAATGGAATGCTAAGCTGTTTGAAGCACTTCTGAGGTTTGGCTTCATGCAAAGTCAACATGATCACTCCCTGTTTATTAAAGGGTCAGAGGAACATATCATAATCATCTTGGTTTATGTTTATGATATGCTCATCACTGGACCTAATCTGACATTAATATCTGAGATAAAGATTAAGTTGCAGCTGACATTCAAAATGAAGGACTTAGGAGACCTTAAATATTTCCTTGGTATTGAGTTTGCCAGGTCACAAGGCATTCTAATCCACCAAACGAAGTACACACTAGAGCTAATCTCTGAGCTTGGGCTGGGAGCTGCAAAACCAACAACAACACCTATTGAGGCCCACATTAAGATAACCACTAAGGAGTATGATGAGCACACTAACAGCTCTAATGCAACTGATGATGAAGTTCTAACATATATCAGCAAGTAACAAAGATTACTAGAGAAGTTACTCTACTTAACTGTCACAAGGCCAGACATAGCATTTAGTGTTCAGACACTAAGCAGTTTATGCAGAGCCAAAAAGGTCACATATGGAAGCTGCTCAAAGGGTGGTCAGATATGTTAAGAGTTAACCAGGACAAGGCATACTTCTATCTAGCAAATAGAGGAACTCTATCACTACATACTGTGATGCAGACTGGGCAGCCTGCCCTATCGCTAGAAAGTCAGTGACAGGCTTCTTCATTAAGTATGGTGACTCCGTGATATCCTGGAAGTCAATGAAACAAAGCACCATTTCTAGGAGCTCTGTAGAGTCTGAGTACAAAAGCATTGCATCAATTGTAGCTGAATTGATTTGGATACTTGGTCTGTTCAAAGATATTGGTATAACAATTGGCCTCCTTGTGAACATCTACACTGATAGTAAAGCAACAATCCAAATAGCTGATAATCCGGTATTTCATGAACGAACTAAACATATTGAGATAGACTGTCATTTTATAAGGGCAAAGATACATAATGGCCCGGTACAAACTACAAACAAAATATATAGCTACAAAGGAGCAGTTAGCAGACATCCTAACCAAAGGTCTACCTCGAGTGCAACATGAGTATTTGATGTCCAAGCTAGGTGTGCTTGATGTCTTCATACCACCTAGCTTGAGGGGGAGTCTTGGATAAAAGATGTAACCTGAATGCAAGGGTAGTTTAGTCTATTTATGTGTTACAGGATTAGT